AATTCACATATATTGTATATGTACCTGCTCCTCCTCCTGATGTCAGTAAATTATGAAAGAAATGACAATAAAACCTGATGGAGTAAGAGAGAGAGAGGGGGGGAGTATAAAGAATTAGATGATTATACAATTACTTTGCAGCTTTCAACATTCCTTCAGTATTAACATGAACTAGTGAACTCATGAAAAATAAACAATAATCAGTAGAATCCTAAAAAAGCAAAACAACATATATCAAGAGTGTCCACTCTTTCATATATGTACATGTACATGTGTTAACCGCCCCCTCTCCTTCCTTCTCTCATTACTTGAATTGCTAATGACTCAAGGGCACAACATGGCTGCCATCTTATCGCAATGTCTTGATAAATGACAGCCTCTTTGTATAAAGACACGCACAAAACTGACAATGAATAATAATGAGAAACAGTCAATTCCAAATACTAAAAGAGAAGAAGTTGCTGGAATTACCATATAGCGGGAAATTTGGAGGGAGTTAAATTTGGCAAATTTGGCATTTAGATAGCAATTTGCCAAAATAAAATCCACCATTTTGAGCCATTATATGCATGCTCAATGGCACATGGCCACAAATTTGCTAATCACCCAAATATAGCAATTTGCCAAATTTTAGTCCCTCCAAAATTTCCCACTATACAGTATTACTAATAAGTCATAATTCTCATTACTTTATCATGTAATAGCTCATAAACCATCATTACTAGTGGCCAGTGTAGCTCAGTGTGGCTTGATAACATCTTCACAAATAAATCAACCAGCACAAACCTAATGTCACATGATGATCACATGATCAGTTGGTCACTACTCACTGTTTATCAGTAATGTCAGCCTCACTTTCATGGAGTGGTAATGATATTTTAATAATAATTTCAGTAACATACTTCAATAGTAACTCAACCACCTAAAAAAAATTCAATAGCCACCTAAAATTTCCATTCCCATACTCCCATACTTCATACCTGTATTTCCCATTCCTTCAGTCCTGGACTGCATATGTCGCCACTATGTTTCTTTGATGATTTATCATTATTATTAATGATTGATTTCTTAATGTCACTGACTACTTGATTAATCGCAGTGGATACTTGAGACAAAATTGGACCTAATTGATCTAGAAAATAATACAATAATTATAATAATCCATTATCCATAGCTCCACCTTCTCTTCTCTCTATCTCTCACCTTCATTATCCTCATAGTGTCTCTTCAGTCTCTCCAGCTTCTCTTCTAATGGAGAATACATTAGCAACATCTTACTAGAACTAGAACCTAAATAGAATAATAATAAATAAATAATAATAATTGATGCATGTACATGTACCTTCACCATTACTAGTTGAGTTGTTTAACTTTTTACATTCTCTTTCATATTTAGCAAACATAGACTGGTGACTTTTATCTCTCCTAAAACACAACAACAAAATAACATCAACATGTACATATAAGTACACTTATTAATTATACACTATTAGTTGTACATGTACATCTACACTATTATAATTGTACACTTATTACATGTACATGTATGTTGTTTATAGTACTTCTTAAGTGCTTCAATGAGTCTTTCCCTTGTATTAGGAGGTGAAGGAACCTGTCAAAAAATTAAAATAAAATTACAAGCTTTAACACTATTAACAGCAAAAATTAACAATATTAACAATATATAAAATTAACAATATGAACAATAATATATAAAATTAATAATATTTCAGCAATATTAACAAGAAAGATGTCTCTTTGTCTCCTCTTTCTTTCTCACTTGTCTAGGAGCTAATAATAATCTCAGTATCCTTCCAGTATAGTAAGGCAGATTGAACATTTGATACTCCAACAGTTTATTAGGAATAGTCTGACAATTGTTGGCCTCAAATGAAGACAGTATGTCATTTAATTCAACTTCAGCCATTGAGAACTAAAGAGAGAGAGAGAAAGAGGCAGAGAATGGAGTTTAAAAGATAACATGTAAAGTGTAGTTACCTCCTGATTGATTTCAACATTATCTTCAGTGCTACTAGTATCAATGTAATCATAATCAACCTATAAACATTCAAGAACTATTAAAATTAATTCATCAATTTTCTACGCAACATAAGTATACGTATATGCATCAAATAAAATTATAAAACCCAGAATTCTCCACTTTTTAATTTTGGAAAAATTTGGCCTGAGAACTTGTACTATAGTACAGGGACTTTGACATAATTTCAGAGCAACTTCAAAAATTCACAAAAAATTCAAATTTGATCGGAGTCACCTCAAACTTTCTACACAGCATAAGTACATGTATATGTATCAGATAAAAGTAAAAAAAACCCAAAATTCTCTCCTTTATAATTTTGGTGAAATTCGGTCAACATCCCTGTACTATAGTACAGGGACTTTGATCGGATTTTTGAGCAACTTTAAAAATTCATTAAAAATCCAAATTTGATCGGAATCACCTCAAACTTTCTACACAGCATAAGTACATGTATATGTATCAGATAAAAGTAAAAAACCCAAAATTCTCTCCTTTATAATTTTGGTGAAATTCGGTCAACATCCCTGTACTATAGTACAGGGACTTTGATCGGATTTTTGAGCAACTTTAAAAATTCATTAAAAATCCAAATTTGATCGGAATCACCTCAAACTTTCTACACAGCATAAGTACATGTATATGTATCAGATAAAAGTAAAAAAACCCAAAATTCTCTCCTTTATAATTTTGGTGAAATTCGGTCAACATCCCTGTACTATAGTACAGGGACTTTGATCGGATTTTGGAGCAACTTTAAAAATTCATTAAAAATCCAAATTTGATCGGAATCACCTCAAACTTTCTACACAGCATAAGTACATGTATATGTATCAGATAAAATCATAAAAACCCAGAATTCTCTCCTTTACAATTTTGGTGAAATTTGGCCAACATCTCTGTACTATAGTACAGGGACTTTGACCCAATATTGGAGCAATTTTAACAATTCATAAAAAATCTAGAATCAGCTCAAACTTTGTACTGAGC